TGATAATTCACATACAACAAAGTTGCTTATTTTTAAATAACACATTTTTCATCTTTCATACCTGTCTAATTAATCACTTCAAAAGTTGCCATATATATTTTTTCTTTTCTTGTATCTTCATAAATCAAAAATTTAAAAATTTCCGGAATTTAGAAATGAAAGCAAAATTTTCATGTTTTCTTCACGAACAATTTTTGCCAGCTGAATGCAAAAAATATTGGAATAATTACATTTATTATTTCGTCTGTTAGTAATTATCCTATTATTCGGAATTATCAAACTTACAGGTAAATAAAAATACCTTTAAAAATAATGATATAAAGATAATTTATCCTTAATTTATATTTTCTTAATCAATTGTTGTAAATTTAATTTTGCATAAATTATTATCATTTATATAATATTTGAATTGTTAAATTTTTTTCTTAAGCAAATAGATTTTGTTTAAAAGTATCTTTTACTCATTCCTATAGATATGGCCAAATAAAAAGACTGTCCCCTTTTTATTTAAACCCTAAAATTTCTACATATATTAGTGATAATGAAATATTAATATAAATTTCTATATATATATATATATTAGTGATAATGAAACATAAACATAAATTTCTACATATATTAATTTCTACATATATTAGTGATAATGAAATATAAACTTCTATATATATTAGTGATAATGAAATATGAATATAAATTTCTACATATATTAGTGATAATGAAATATAAACATAAATTTCTACATATATTGATGATAATGAAATATAAAATGGAATATTTCATCTCATACGAAAATTCCATTCATCATATCTAAAGCTTATCATTGTTAACAATTTGGTTATCAATAATTATATACGTCTAAATGGTAAATTCTTTGCTATTTACTACGATAATTCAAATAAACCAAACGGAAAAAACTATTCGTTAAAATAAGAAGTTTATAATGTAATACATAAAATAATTGCAAATTATTTGTGTACAAACCAGATTACATATAAATATATAAAACCTGATTATATATATATATATATATGTTTGCTATAAAATTGAATAAATTTATCTATAAATCATTAAAATTTTAAAATAAAATATTTTCTAAAATTAAAATTTTAATAATAAAGTATTTTCTAAATTTTCGTCTTAAAAAAAAAATTATTATTAAATTATATATTAAATCATATCATATATTCAATCAATCAATCAATCAATCAATCAATTCTATTCTAATGCATAAACTGTTTTTAATGATATCTTTAACTCTTTAGATTTGATAACAGTCTAAATTTTATCGGATATATATTGGAAATTGAAAAAAGAAAAAAGAAGAAAATATAACGGAAAAAAAAGAGAAAATAGAAGAAAACAGAAATTTAATTCAATATTATTTTATATTAGTTAATTAACATTTCTTATTTTAATTTAATTCAAAGTTTTTGATTTTGAATTTTCTTTTGTCGATTTATTCAATGAAATTTTAAAGTTTAAATTTATTACCTAAAACTTCCAATTCATTACTTTTGTTTTTATTTGTTGTTTACCTCTTTTTAATTAATTATTTTATTTTAAAAGATACGAGAAATTTTATTCAATCTTAATTTAAACATTATTTTAAATTATTCGTCTTTTCCATTTTCCATTATATCCGATCGAATTATTTTAATTTAAATTATTTAAATTTAAAATCAATAAAGAATATAACTTTTATAGCATAAATTTTCATTCGTTTTTTTTATTCATAAATTTCTTTTTTAAAAATTTTGAACGAAATTTTTTTCAATGAATGGAAAAGAAATTTTCTCAAAATGAAATATTTCTTTTTGTTTTTTAATTATTTGATTATTATTAGTAATTGTTTCCAGGTTATAGGCGATTTCTATCGATGAATAAAAGCCTATATCAATGATATAGGCTATTTTTACCTATGAATAAAAGCCTACATTGATGATATAGGCTATTTTTATCAATGATATAGGCGATTTTTGTCAATGATATAGGCGATTTTTATCAATGAATAAAAGCCTATATCAATGATATAGGCTATTTTTATCAATTTATTAATGAACAATGCAGCAACATTGTAGCTTATGTATATGAGAAAACTGTAACTAATAAAAATTTCATTCTTTTTGAAATATCTTTTTTTTCTATTTGAAATTTTTGAAATAATTAATATCATTTGTTTTTCTTATCAATAAATTTTTACATAAAACATTACTTTGATATCATTGAATGAATGATTAAAAAAATGTTTTTGACAAAGGTAAGCTTTTTTCTTTTAGCAAATAAATAATTATAAGATAATAATTAGGTCAATAGGACGAATATGTAATCGTTGAAAATTTTTAAAAGAATTTTTGTTGTTGTTGTTGTTGTTGTTGAATGAGTGAATGAATGAAAATTGTACGGGAAAAAAAGTTATACAACAAATGCTGCACTTCTTCAATTAACTCTTTCTCACAATTAAATAATTAAAATTTTCTTTCGTTTCTTTTTGTTTGTTTGTTTGAAATGCCGATAATTTAAAGAACAAATAAATAAAAGAGGAAAGATTAAATTTTAGCGGCATTAAAAAATTTTAAATCTGAAACAAGAGAAAAGTTTAATGTCATTTTAATCATCATTTTCAATTCTGTATCATTACTACGACTACGACTACTACGACTACTAACTACTACTACTACTACTACTACTATTTTTCATTGTCGAATTCTTCCACTTTAATTTATTCATTTATTATTTTACTCGCTCTTAACTCATATCAATTCTTATTTTATTTTTTTTCCAGTAATTAATTTCTATTTTATATATTTCAAAAGAAAAAGAAAACTTCACTATTTATGATGTTTTATATAAACTATTAATCGTTGAATGGTATTAATTATATTTCTGTAAAACAAATCTTGAACTTTTTTTCAAATTTTTACATAGTTCACTAACTTGTTTCTGATAATGATAAGTTAACAAATTTTCCTAATCTTAATGATAGATATGATCTTCCTCTCGTTCTTTAATTTCTTTTTTTTCCAATCACTTCGTTATTTATTTTTATGATATTTTTGATATTTATGTATATACATAAAAAACAACAATGATAGGAATCTTAATCACTATCATCACATTATCATGATTAGTAATGTGATTCACATTATTAATCATTATTAATTACTTCGTACCAACATCTGTTTATTACGAATAACTACTACTTCATATGCAGTTGTTCGAATATGTTATTTATCGTTTCTCTTTTTTTTTTCTATTAAATTCGAAATGAAAAAGTTTTATTTTACGAAGTAAATTTTCAAATCATATTAAAAACTGTCAACTAATTCTATTGAAAATTTGTCATATATTTTTTGTTTCGTTTACTAAAAGTAATTTTGTAATTTGGAATAATTTTAGAGTGAAATTTTTTATGAAAAAATTTAAGATAACATATGTGACAGACAAATTGTATTATAACTATAACAATAATAATATAAATTTTGCTTAATTATTAGGGAACGAGATAAAGTGATGCTAAATGAATCATAATAAAGTATATACTTATATGATATAATTCCATTCATTCATTCATATATTCAATTTCATTCCATTCGTCCATTCATCCATTCATCCATTCATTCATTCATCCATTCGTTCATCCGTTCATTCATACCACTGTTTCATTCATCACTGATCCCAGATCATTTGCACAATAAACTGTTTATCCCTCTCTTTCTGCTCCTAACATTTTACTTCTTTCACCTTTTCTCTCCTTCTCCTTCTTTCCTCATTTCCTTTCTCATTCAAACTATTTTCCTTTCATTGCTTCTTTTTCCTTTCTCATTCGATAAAGATTTTTTAATTCTTTTTACTTTCTTTTTCAAAATCATATATCTCATCGTTATAGAATTATTTCCATGATATTGTTATTGTTTTTATATTATTCAATTATATTTTTCTTAATTATAATTATCAAATTATTATTCAAAGCTAATTCACGTTATTACAATTAAGTTAATTTACGTTATTACAATGAAATTAATTCACGTTATTACAATGAAATTAATTCACGTTATTACAACTTCACCTACGATTAATGATTAATTGATATTTCACGTTCGAAATTGTGTATGCTATCATCTTTTGCTTTTTTTTAATTCATAATAAGTGAACAATGAATTTATAGGTAAAAAATATGTATAGACAGACAGACAGACAGACATAATGTGTAATGCTTTCTTTGTACGAAAAGAAAAATACATGAAAATGTTTGATTGAAGCAGCGAATTTCTTTGTTACAAGATATATTAATGATATTTGAATACGATCAATGCTTATTGTTTATTTGTTTATCCAATCTGTTTCACTGAAATTACAATTATCCATTCTTCTTTTTTTTTTTCCCATTTCAAAATATTAACGTAAACTGAAATACACGTACGTATGTTTATGTTTACGTTAAAGCAATATAAATTGTAACTTGATCTTCTTTTCATATTAGATCGATTATTTTAATTTATTTGAATCGCTTATCAATTCATTCAAATATCCTAGATATGTTTATTCACATTTATTTATCAGCTTACCCACCACTTTAATAACAGGCAGCAGCAGCAGCTATCTATCTATCTATCCTTTTCATCATTCTTCATCGATTTATATTTTTGAATCATTCTATTTTTTTTAGAAGAAAAAAAATAATAATTTTGGTTCATTATTGATCCATTAGATTGTTTTGCGAGGTCATGTCTGTAAAAATTTGTGATTATTGTGACCTCGTGCTATAGGTCAGTGATGATTTTCTTTTTCTTTTTTTTTTTTTTGCCCGATAGTATTTCCTTTTTCCAACCCTCTATTTTCCATAGCATTTTCTGAGTTACGAATTAACGACAAGGTCAACTTCCTTCTATCATCATCATCATCATACGTTAGAAGGATTTTCATTTTCTAATTGTTAATTTGCATCTTTTACCTTTTCTTTTTACTTTCTATTCTTTTTATAGTGAATTGAATAGGTATGTATGTTTGTATGTGTAATCGATTTATTTGAGGTATTTATTTGCCTATAATTCATGTCGTTTGTAAAATTTGTTTTCGCTGCGCAAAATGAGACAGAAAGGAGTAAAATTAAATTTTTAGATTTTTTAATTTCATCATTCTTCAATTCTTCTTCTTTTCATATACGAAAATTTGTATTTATTTACATAAATTTTATCAATTATTTAACAGACGAAAAAAGGAAAAGGAAAAGGTAAAGCTGGCAGGAAATAGATTTATTAGCATTTTAGACCTTTGCAGAAGCTACTAAGTATTTGCAAAAGCTAATATAATTTATAAATGTATTTCAGATTCTAACAAATAATTCATTAACGGGTTTAATCACATTAAATTACTTTCGGCAACATTTGATGAAGCGTTATCAAAGTGAAGCAGTACAACAACGACTTAAACTTCTCTTCGATGTTCTTCTTCGTGGTTTCAGGTATTTGAATATTTTGAAAAATTCGATATGCTGTTGATAAAATAACGTGTAAAAAAAATTCATGGAAAATATTCGACGAAAATGATATTGAAAAATAACTATCTCGTGATTTATAAAGATTTTCATTCTTTTTTTCTTGTGCTTTAAATTTTTTGATCATTTTTTTAATCGAAAGAAATTCTATTTTTTGTTAGATTAAAATATGCAAGAATTGCTTGTCAATAATAATTTCAATTTTCAAATTTTAGTTCATTTGTAAATCATTATACAAATGAAATAACATGGTTAAAAGCTCGTCTCGAATCATTGCACCCCGATAATTTGGATGAACAACGAATTTTGCAAAAGGTTCGTTTCAGTTCTTTTTTATCAAAATATAACAGGTCTATCAAATTTCGCATATTTTTGAGTATTTTTTAGATGAAGATAATCTATTAATGTTAGAGAGAGAAAAAAAACGAATGTGTTATGAATATAATGATGACAGTATAATATTTAATTTCGTTCATTGCCGTGGACGACTGCGGTGATGGATTGCATTCATGTATGACCTCGAAAACATCACCAACTTTCACTAATGTCCTATTGTTTTCGAATTAAGGCATTCATGAAAAGTCACAAATTTCAACTTAATTAACTATAGAATCTGATTTCTTATCTTTTTTTTCCCTTTTACAAAACATACTACACGCAGAAATTTTTCTGTGATACAAAAATAAAAAGTATTAATAGAGTTTTAAAGCTTCTAGAGGAAATTATATAAATAATTTAGGAGTTAAAAATAGCAGAAGAGAATGAACAGCTTTATGCGAAACATGCAGATCAAATTGCGAAACTTCGTGATCAATATCTTGGGCAGATTACTGTTTACAACAATTTGAAGGGTATGTTTTGCCCTTATTCTCCATTATTAATCAGGTTAATTAATTTCTTCAGTAACTTGAAAAAAAAAATAATTGGACAAAAAAAGAAGGTCAGGCAAACAGATAGATAAAGGGGAGAATATACGAAAAAACCGAAGTACATCAAATGAATCATTTCACATAAGAATAATTATTAAAGTTTTCGTTTGGAAAATATCCTGTAAAGATAGGATGCTATCCTAAGTTCCAGTTAATCTGTTGATTACACAAATTTTAGTTAAAATTAACCAAGCTTCATAAGTTGTGTAGAATTGCGACAAATTTTGTTCTTATTTTTATTCATCCTTCAACAAACTAAATTTTTTTTTTTAAAAAAATTTTTTTATTTGAAATTTACACTTATTTATTACTTTTCACCTATATCATTCATATAACTTATAATATTTCCCGTACTTTGAAAATTATTCCATTCACTTAGTTCCATAAAAATTAAACCTAAATAATTTGAGGAAGTGCTTTAAGGCCATTTTGTTAATGTGTACATTTCAAAAATGGTAAGAAATATGATTGTAATATGAAGTATAATGTTTCATCTCCACGTATATATGTGTGAATGTATGTGTGTGTGTGTGTGTGTGTGTGTGTGTGTGTGTGTGTGTGTGTATTTGTATGTATTATGGATGTGTGTGGATGTGATTTATGGGAAACGAATAAAATATAATTCTCCTGATTAAATTTTTATTTCATACATTTTCTCGTATAAAATGTGGAAGAAAAAGAAGGTGAAATACGTTATTCTATCAACGTCTTTGTCAAAAAATTTTTGCATTTACTTAGATAAACTAAAAAAAAGGAAGGAGAAGAGATATTCCAAAATTTTCAAAACTTAATTCCGAAGTTTTTTTTGATTGATGAAGCATTTTTTTTAAAGCAAGAAATGAAGAAATTCCTAATATTACTGATCGATTGAAATCTCATCAAGTTCTAAAGGGCAATATCAACCAGAAATTTTTCCATTTCATGCGATTTCATTTCGTTCCAAATTTTGCAGAAAATTATATTTATGATATTTACAAATGTACGATGATATTAGATAAAAACTTAGGAGGATCAATGCATAAATGATATTCAACGAATTCATTTCATTTTTTTATAGTAATAATAGACAATGAATTTTCTTGTTTTTACGGTCAGTGAAATTATTCGCGCGACGTGTATACAAAAGATTTATTCATTTTATGAATATTTCGTGAGCCATTTATTTAAATCTCTTGAAAATAATTCAAATATTTTATTAATTTTAATGTATTTCATTCTAAAGGATATACTTGAACGGAATTTCAAGTGTACTTTCGTTTTTCTCATTTTTTAAAAAAGACGTTGAATATGAGCAGTTATTAGATTTGAAGATTCATTCTGAACTGATTTTGTTTTCAAGCGAAATTTCAAAAAGTAATTGATAATGTTGTGGCGATTTTTGTGCTGAAATTTTTTTCATGCATTATTAGGGATCATGCCAAACTATATTCAGAAATATGTGGTAAGAAAAGGATGAAATGTCCTGTTGTTAGTCATACAAAAGTGTTGTTACTCGTTCATTTCATAAGAATTCATTGTTGTCAGCAGCAGCAGCAGCAGTAATGTTTATCTTTCTGATTACTCCTCATAATGTTGTTTATGCAATCCAAAATATTTACACCAAGTAAATAACTTTATCTAATCAATTCTTCATTATTTTAAGTATCGAATAAGTTTTATTAATTCTTCGATATTTTGAAAATCAAATAAGTTTTATCTGAATAACGCTAATAAAAAGTGTTTGTTCGATAACAGTTTGTAGTTGAGAAATCAAAATATACGAATTAGGAGCATATTCATTTGATTCTGTATTTAAATTATAATTTACTGATTTAACTTCTGTAATTGTAAATTCTATAATTGACTAGTGAATTATAGTCATCATAATAATATCAATCATTCTTATTAAATTGATCACTAAAAGTTGTGTTGTTTATTCGTTGCAATAGTCATCCTGAGTTTGTAACTCTTTCTTAATTATGTATTTTATAGTTAGTGAAGTTCGAAGTTTTAGGTAAATTAACATTTGTGTTTACTTCTTGAAAAGAAAATTTTATCACTCGTTATATTTTGTTTACTTTGCGAGCATATATGTCTAAGCTTTTAGGTAAATTTTAATTGCTAGAAAAGTAAATCTTTGGTGCACATCCTTCTCTTTCTCTCTCTCGCACTCTTCCACTTATAACTCGAAGTACTAATTTTCATAACCTCTCGTATTGAAGTACTGTCCATTTGTTGTCATCTGTAATGCTTTACACAACCATTGGATGAGTTCTGATCGATTCCGCTGATAGGATTTTCTTTGAGTAGATACATTAACTAGTTGTCGTGAAGGTAGCTTAGATTTGTGCCTACTCCTAAGTGTCATTGAAAGTGAATGCGGGAATGATAGAGCCCATTAAAAAAGTTTTTAACAAAGAAAGGGTAGTTCGGAAAGTAAGAGATGTCTTCTACGATTCATTATTTCTGCAAAACGAACGATTGCTATTTTTTTGAAAACTGAAAATAAAAAACTTATTTCAGAAACAATATTTAAATTGTATAGAGCCAAGCAGTAATA